CTCTCTCTCTCTCTCTCTCTCTCTCTCTCTCTCTCTCTCTCTCTCTCTCTCTCTCTCTCTTTCAAAGTTGATAATTGCGCGTGCTTGCACCACGGATCATTGAACCCCGGCAAGACTCAGCAAGTATTGCCAAACTGCAGCACATTGGTAGCGACGCGTAACGTGTTCCTGTTTACAGAAAGTTATCGACGTGAATACCGTTGCCAAGTATGCGCCGCAGGTTCGCCCCTATCGACAATAATTGCTGTTAATGTTAGTACGCGAAGGAGAAACTCTGGATTGCGAACACTATATCAGGGCTTACAGAAGCCTATGAGCGCTTTATCCAAAAGCCTGGCGATCCAAGCTTTGGCAAATCTGCAGAATCACGAACTAATAGTTTCACCATTGAAATCGTTTTCGAATTACGTATTTGTTAAATTATAAAGTTAAACATGTAGCTAAGAGCAAAATTTCTGTCTTTGAAAATGCGATATTTACCTCACTACGGATGGGGTACTAGTGTGTATTAATTTTTACACAAATGATATCACGAAATTTCAATCAATGAAAATATCCTTATTTCTCTTTTGTGCATATCAATTGCCCGTTATCAATTAATCCTCGATTTCCCTTGCATTCACTGATTAATTTACTGCAACGTTAATGCTTCTAAGTCTTTGATCATCGAATGAGAATTAATCATGTGATTGAACAGATTTGCTTTCAAATCTTCCGAAATAACCGGAACGTCCGTTTATCGATCGCGCAAGTATTTTTCAATGTGTTTGAGAGTTCACCGAAATTTCGCGGCTCGATGTTGACGAAACTATTTCAATGTAATGTCGGATCCGTTCGAACGGGATTTTGATTTTCTTTTAGGCGGATCGCCACTCTGTTTAGATCATAGAACGAGGCTTTGCCGAGCTCCGGCTTCATGGGCTCCATCGAAACGTGTAGACGAGCTTTAACGATTCTAAAAGGATACGTTCCAGCGCGTGCTTTCAGATGGGACGGGATTGATCGGACGGATGTAGAGCAAAATGTTCCGCCTGTTACACGTCTATACGAGCCCGTGCGGCATACCATACCTATGGTGTAGCCTTCGTTGTCGAGTGGTATTTGTTCAAGCCCGCAGTCGGTACACCGAACGCTCCACGTTAACGAGAATCCTGCGTAGCTGATCTTACGAGCGGAATAATATATCAGGGATCTATTGAATTATGGTCCTGATGTGAATCGGACATAGCTACATTAATCAGTCGCTACATCAATACGTTCTGCGGTATGTAGCGATATACATCGTGGTGAAGACAGATTTCGACGTGTATTGTTCAATTTTCTTCGTGCATTATGTAAATATTTTAAGTATTAACGTAGACAAGTTAAGTAAGTGAAAAATTTTTGGATTATCATCAATATTACCAATATAGTGGATAATTATAAAAAATAAATTTTTATAATAATTATCACATTAAACTGAAATTGAACTGGACAATATAGCATTCATATTTAATAATTATTTTAAAAAATTTAATCTTATAAAAGATCTTTCTCTAGTATTTCTTCTTTAGTATTTCTTCTTTAAGATCTTTCTTAAGTTTATTCTTCTTTAATCACTCTTCGAATTGTAACACGAACTTATTTTATAGACGATAAATTTTTACAAGTTTCGACATACAATTTACATACGATTTACGATTTACAAGTTTCGATTACACATAAATATTCGTAAAAATTGTATTTATAATTAGGTATTCGCCGGACTCATAATAAAATTTATTTAGCATAAATAAAATTATATATTAATATAAAAAAGAAATATTTCAAAAAAATTGTTTAGTACATTTATTGATAAAATTAAGCATTAAGATGCAAAGAAATTAATCATCTATAGTGATATTACGCAGTATTTTCTTACTCACTTTATTTGTTTAGATTAATTGTGTACAAACACTCTGTGAAATTATGTGTGCAACTGTGAGGCTAAAACTTTGAACTGGTGACATTTCGTGTGCAGTATAACTTACTGACATCTCGACTAAATATTTAGTTGACATACATCTACTTGCATAATACTCAAAGATCCACGGTGAAACCGCCAGAGAATTCCCAATGTGTGCGCAAAGCCGAATATAGGCTGTCTCGGTCTAATCCTTCGTTGGTATCATGCACGTAAGCAAGCGGTTATATCGCCACAACTCAAAACCGTCGCGCTTAAATGTGCGGTGTGAACATTGGGAGTCCGGCGTATTTCCGCGCAATTTCAGATCATTAGCCCTGATTTCCTGGAATTCTCACCGCAGTGTAGATTAGAATAGATCAATCTTCGCGATGATTCCAGTGACGCTTCCATTTTCGCAACGTTTATACTTTCATGATGGTTAATTGGAGTAATGTTAATAATGTAGTAAATGTTTTAATGGAATAATATCTATTGCCAAATTAAATCCATAATCTATCTACTATAAAATTACAGTAGATACTGTTGATTTCATAATTATTAATAATTATACTACTACTGTATTATACTATCTACTGTAATTTTAATGCCATAAAATGTTGTAATAGGATTAATTGTTTTGAATCTGTTAAATGTGATATGCAATATTGCATAAAACGATTAAATAGTTTGTACTTTTTAGTAAATATTATAGAGCTTGATATTTATCTGTTGAAACTCTATAACAAATATAAAATAATTGAATTAAATGAATAAAATTTGAAATCCAAAAATATATTAAATAAATTTTATTAAATAATACATTAAATTTTTATTAATTAATTTAAATTTTAATTTTTAAAATATATTTGTTTTAAAAATTGTGAAAAATTAATTGTATTTGTTATCACATTGCAATAAATTATTATGTTTATACAAATACAATACGTTTTTTATCTGCAATGATTTTATTTTTTTTTATCCAAATGGTGTTACCTCATTAAAATATCCTGAGATTATATCGACATGAATAGTGCAATAACTTACTTAAGCATATTTACGCAATCCCAAACCGAAAATGCATTGTGTTGGTAATACTCTCGAATCGCTTGTCCCATGAAAATAAATTTGGCTTTTATTTCGATAATCGTCGGGGAATTAAACAGTCGCAGAGTTTTATCACGGGAGGGAAGGCTGGTATTAAGTCTGATTTTAGCATACATTATTTAAATTGAGTCGCCGCGGCCACTTTGCGAACAAACAATTGCAATATTATTTCGCGCCGGAAGCCCTAAATGCATTAACGAATGATTATTTTTTACGTATCCGCGAAAAACATAATCGCAGCTCCGCATGCGCGTAATGCGAACACGGTAACGGGTTTTCGATATGTCATGCAATGAATTTTGCAAGGAGGGTAGTCCTGATGGCTACGCAAAAACTCACAACTCGCAGATATCTCCCGCATGGGTAGATGTGTAACGCACGTACGCACGCACGCACGCACGCATATACGTGCTTACGCACGTACGCATTTTCACGTCATATCGCGTTGCTTATTGATTTTAGTACGGTATGAAATACCACGGTTGAAGATTAGAGTTGTACTGAGAAATTCGCGTTGATATTGAGTGACATAATAAATACTCAATTCTGTTTTACATATTCATAACAATATTGATTTATTATATCAAATTTACTTAAAAATTACTTATATTCTGAAATTTAGCATAAAAAATAAAGAGAGAATTCTTTTTTTTAAATTATGTGAGATGTACGCATCATTTGCTATAATCACGTCGTTATCATTTTTTTTCTTTACACTTTTTAAATCGTCTTGGGCATTATACTTATCATTATTCTGGTAACATTGATGCTACTTTCGCATTGTCGCTTTGCTTGTAGCACACTTAAAAATGCAACGATCTACGAGTTCAAGGCTAGGATGTATTCTTTTTGTTGCCCCGTCTCGTTTTACTCTTATCAGAATTTTCCATGTTTTTTACGGCAGTTGATTTAGTATTATAATGAGCTGCCCTTTGTGAGACGCCTTCTCTCATGCTAAACACCGCCATTTCACTACCAGTTAAGAAATCGCGGCTTAAGAACCAGCCCGCGGGTTCCCACTGCATTCCACAGCTTCAATGCTGTGAGTGATATCGATTTTCTTGACGGGCCGTTTCCGCGGTATAAACGGACCATTACCTTTAGTATGTCTTCCTTAACCCGCGCTGCCCTCCGTAATGGTGGTTAGTGCGGTTTTTGATAGTTACGTATCCTTTTTTTCTTT